TACAGAAAACAAAGGCAGAAGCAGCCCAGGTTGTTCTGGGACTAATCAGCTGCTCCAGGAGTCCTTGACATCACGTCACGCTTGCCAGCAAAGGGTGACTACCTGTCTCGTGTGCTTTTACTCTCTTAGGGGAAATTCCAAAGGCACAAACCAGATGCTTTTCTTGAATTCATCTGGCATGGTATGATGCAGTTAAAATGAAACAAATTTTGAATTGTTATTGGTTTTTTTTGATCTTGCTGATGTTTAGACTGGTGATGGATGATGACTCGAGGCAGGGATTTGTATGTGGCAGTGTCTAGTGTCTGAATCAATTCTCCTTTATGTTGAGACAGTATTCTGAAAAACATGAGTTTGCTGCAACTGTGATGTTGGCAGGGTGTTTTATGGTTACATTGATAAGGAGCACTCATTCATTCATTCTTGTCATTCAGGAGTGGTTTTTTTCTGTTTTATTGACAACTAGCAAAAATAGTCCATCTGGAAAGTAAAATCTTAGTTTTAGAATTCCTCAAAATTATATATTAAAAGTGACTGTAAAAATGATCCAAGGGTTTTCAACAAAACTGCTTCTTTGGCTGTTAAATCTGATGTTTTAAAAATTTCATTTATTGTCTATACCTCTCTGTTCCTGTTACTCCTGTTACCTTCTGCATTGAAAGAGCAGGATTCTGCTTTCGACTGTAAATCACCAACAAGATGATTTAGGAAGAATGTAGACATACAGGTGAATTAGTTGCTTAATTATTTTGCCTCTGCTGTGATGAGCTAACTGCTTTCATTGTACTCTGGCAGAAGAGTAAGCTAATTTTGTTTAGTTTATCTCAAAATGAAAGGATGCTAAACTGAGCTGAATTGATTTGCAGTTAGTATGGGCTAAAGATTGTGCACATGGAGAATTGAAGTCAGCTGAGCTGCAGGGGTGATATAGGAGAGGAGGGCAACTAAAGCCAGTATTTGAGCCCTGAATTCTAAGTACACTCTCCTCAAATTCATCTACACAGTCCAGGATTGAAAACACCACGTTGTTGGTCAGGTTCTGATTGTGAGTTGGAACACAACTCAGTTCTTAGAAAGGTTGTGCTGAGTTTGCAGGGCAAACTGTAACTCTGTATTTCTGCAATGACCAGATTTTTAAGTGAAATGAATTTAACTGTAAACAGAACCTCAGACTGTCACTCCTGCAAAGCTTTTTCTCAAAGTAAGACTGCTTTGCAGCAGAGGCGTTGACGTCAATTTCAGTGGCACGGTTATGGTAGTATGAAGTGTTCTGTGATTTCAGAAATGACAAGCTCGAGCACTGCGCTCCTCAAGTTTGCCTGGCGTAAGTGTGTATAACCTTCACATTTACTAGGGCATGTGTTAAAGTGTTGTCTCTTTTTTTAACTTCAGAAGTAACTGCAAGAAGTAATGGAAGAGAAGGCAAAATAATGCTTCTCAAGAGCAAAACTGTATTTTTAAAAAATTTCTAACACTCCAGATGCGAAGTGGGTGAAATTCTGTATTAACACAACATGCAATGTGAGCAATGGGAGAAATTTTGTCATGTTCCAGAGAGAATCAGTCTGGCCACAAGAGCTTTGTGGATCAGTAGAAACTGCTGCCTCCCCTCTGCGCACAAAAAAACCTCTAAAATGTCTTCTTGTGATCCTTGCAGTCCTCCATACTGCTCCATTATGTGCAGACTTACTGCATGTAGTGCTTCATGAGTGTGGTATTATTCAGTGTTGAATTTGGGAAGAGAGAATTGGTCATGAATGTTTCTGTGATTTCTTTTCTAGTTTTTATTTCTTACAGTCGTTGTTGTAAATGGGGAGGAAAGTCAGAGCATGGAAAATGTGTGACCTGGTGGCTTTTAATGTCTTGGGAGAAAAAAAAGTATCTGTTTCTGCGTCTAACCCCCTTTTTCTTTTATCACATAAAGGAAAAACAGGGCTATATGTCTGTGGAATTAGGAAAATGGATCTCTTTGCTGCTGCTATCTAACTCAGTATTACTACTGTTAAAAGATTGGAATTTTTAAATGTAGTTCTGTGTGAAGTTTCTATACACTTTTTTTTTTATATAACTGTGGTGGAGCAGAAGGAACGTGATCATGCTTCAGGCCTTGTAAAAGTCTGAACTCATCTTGTGTGCTTGAATACAGAGCATAGCTTTGATTGGGATGAAAGATAAATTCCAGAAAGAAACTTAACTGATTCCATTTTTCCCCTCTGGTGAAATATATCCGATACCCTTCAATGTGAAGGATAGTAAGTACATGGCAGAGTGAATAGCAGTGCTCTGCCTGCTAAGTTGAATAGTTGAAGAGGTGTGGGTGTCAAAAAAAGAAAGCAGGATGCTGGATCAAGGTTTTTGCTGAGTAGAGATGCTCTCTTGTATTTGAAATGAAACTCAATTTACAATACCATTTCATGGGATGTTATCACTACTTTAAAAATGCTATTGTATTAGATTTCTTGAACTGGGTAAAGCCAGAGAACAGGGCCAGAACAAGAAGCAATTATTTTATCCAAAAGGAAAACATTGCAAACGTGTCATTGTGTAGTCTTAATTTTAAATAGTTTCACAAGGGATGCTCATTTGTAAATGGAGTAGTAATTTGGCACTTTGATCAAAAGTTCATACTTGCCACCTTCCTCTTACACTGTACTGTGTAAGACTCAGAGTGAGTAAGGGTATGAGATGATGGTGGAGTCAGAAGGGTGTATATATATGTTTCTGTCTTTAGACAAAGTATTTCAGCTTTCTCAAACCTAATTTTAAGTATTAGGTATTTCTGTGCTTCCTTTAAAAGTAATATGAGTGTTTTGTAATTTTGAATGTAGAATTCTCAAAACACCTTTATGGGACAGCACTGTTGTCCTAATTTTATAAATAACTACTTTGTCTTGCTTCCCTAGGTGACTTTCTCAAGGTTACACAAGAGTCCTCTGGTGGAACAGGGAATTATATCCAAATGTTTGATGTTTAAAACTGGAAATCCAATTTCTGGATTGCCTTCTCCTAACAGAAATGAAAGACCTGTACCTTTCCTGTCATACTGCTGAAGTTAATAAAATTATAAGTATTAATCCTCTGATTTTGATCAATGTTTTTAATTCTGCTTACTGCTTCTTTTTCTTTATAGGCATGTACTGGTATTGAAAATATTGATGAAGCTATAACATTGCTTGAACAAAATAACTGGGATTTAGTGGTAAGTATTCTAAGAAAATAACTTCATAGATCAACTCATAAAACAGTGACATGCCATCTTGCTGAGGGAGCTATTTATTTCAAATTTGGGGGTTTCTTTATGGCTGGAGCAAGCAAGTTATGTGCAGACTGTTTCCGGTGTGTTACCAAGTTAACCTTGTTTACTGAGTTGTATATCCCTGGTATTCTCAGATTGTCTTCATGCCTTTTTGGTTTGTTTCTTTTCCTTTAAATCAATGTTTCATATTGTGTTTAGTTTTCTTTTTGGTAAATTGTATGCATAATTTTATAAGTTGTATAATTAAGGGTAGCATTTTTAGAAGACATCTTGTGTATACAGACAAGGTTTTTGAGGATTTAGGTGTCTGTGGAAGAAATAGAAGGCAGAACAACTTCTTCAACCTTTCCTATGCTGTTAGTTTAAAAATAAGATAGTTGGTTTTCTATTGTTAGTTGTTATGCAAAATTGAGTCAGAGATTAAGGCCATACCTTATTTAGATTTGGTGTTATCCAGACACAGTTAAACACAAACAAAAAAAACCCAATAAGCTCACTCATACTAAAAAAACCCTTTAGTCTAGTTTGTAATAAGGTTCAATGTGCAGACAAATAGGAGGAAACCAGTAAAACAAGCAAAACGGTCTTAGACATTTTAAGACTCTGCATAGGATAATGAGGATAAATAAAGAAACTACTTAATCCATTTGAAAATAGAACAAACTTAATTGAAAATCAAGTGATCTTTCTTTAAATGGTAATACCTTTGATTCCCTCTTTTTTTTTTTTCCTTTTCCAAATGAGTGATCTTTGGACCAGTACAAATTATCAGAAAAATAATTAAAAAATTAAATATGTTACATTTTCCAAAATTGACAGATACAGTTTCAACTGTCTGCCACATTGTGTTCCCAGCGTGTTGTTTTGAATGCTCTCCATGTTTTAATAATCACAAACTAAGTATCACAGAAGTTGGGATGGGTTTTTAAACTAAGTTTGCTTGAATGAAGATTGTGTTTCTTTTAAGGCGTAATGTTTAAAAGACACGTAATATTGTAACCAAACACTATGTACTCCAAGCACTTGAAGCTAAATGTTTAAAATAAATGTTCATCAAATTATACGGGGTCTTTATTTTGCAACATCATGGGAGCATCAACGATGAGATACCAACCACCGAAAGGGAGCACAAATCGTCAGTGTCTTCAAACAGAAAATCATAGAATCAGAGAATGCTGTGAGTTGTGAGGGACCCACTGGGATCATCAAGTCTAACTCCTGTCCCTGCACAGGACAAACCCAAGATTCAGACCATGTGTCTGAGGGCCTTAGCCAAATGCTTCTTGAATGCTGTCAGGCTTGGTGCCATGAGCACCTCCCTGGGGAACCTGTTCCAGTGCTCCACCACCCTCTGGGTGAAGAACCTTTTCCCAGTGTCCATCCTCCACCTCCCCTGGCACATCTTCCTGCCATTTCCCCTGGTCCTGTCATTGGTCACCAGAGAGAAGAGATCAGCGCCTGCCCCTCCTCTTCCCCTTGGGAGGAAGTTCTAGACCGCGATGAGATCTCCTCTCAGTCTCCTCTTCTCCAGGCTGAATAATCCAAGTGACTTCAGCCTCTCCTCGTATGGCTTCCCCTCTAAGCCCTTCACCATTTTTGTGTCCTCTGGACGCTCTCAAGTAGCATTATATCCTTTTTATACCCAAATGTATGTTGACAGAGTGGTATAGTTAATAACATCTTTTGTTGTATTAGTTTATTGTGACTTAGCAGGGGCTGTTTTGAAAGTTAAAGTGTTTATGGGAAGGCAAGGAATAGCCTTATGTGTTCTGTTCAGGTTGTAAAGTTCTCAATACAATGCATTAAATCAGTAGAATGTGGTTTTGTGGGATTTGTAAATTGTAAAGTATATGCTTTACAATAAATGCTCATGGGTGGGGCTGAATGAGAGAATTGTGATGAAAAATGGTAAGAACAACTAAAGGGATTTGATTTGAATTTTTTTTTTCCTTTTGAGACTCCAGAACCAGCAGAAAGGGCAAGTGAAGTATTTAAAACTATGAGGATGGCTATGAGAATAGCTTTAAATAATTATTAGTGATGCATAAATGATCTAGAAGTAGAATATAGTGGGAAAAGAAGTAATGACCCAAAAATGCAAGCTTAAAAAAGGCATACGGAAAGTAAGAAAGGAAACAAAATTAGGGATGCAAGAGGTACTCCAGGAAAGTACATAGTTCTTGAAACTGAACAGAAGATAAACAAAGGGTGTCTCTATGAAAAGGAAATGGTCAGTTGTGGAAGAAAAAAGATAAATTGAGAAGAGTGAAAGTGAAGAAGATGCCCTAAGAATCTGTCATTAGTAGGACATCAGCTCCTTTTTATTAAAAGCAACCTTCTTGTAAAAAAGGGAGTGAAAACCAAACTATGCTAATCTAGCAGGGAGTAAGAAGCAGAAGAGTGAAGAAAAAGGAGAGAAGACAAAAAACCATGAGTGTAAGAAAAAAGGAGTTGCTAGCTTGAAAGCAAATCAAACACCTCTTTGTTAGGCAAGGAATTTCAGCATTTCAGAAGTCAAAACAGCACGTGAAAAAAGGCTCATGACTTGTGAGAATGGTAGCATTTTTATTTCAAAATTAGAAGTGTAGGTGTCTGTGACTTATTGTATACATCTTCCATGTGTGTTGGGGATTTTTTTTAAATTTTTTTTTAGTTGTCAGGTACAGATTCAGTGCCAAGAAACTGGGGAGAAGGGAAGGCTTTGTTTTGATTGAACCAAAAGATCTTGGAGGTTTTTAGCTGAGATAAAAAACCTAAAAAAAATCCTTTTGCTTGGCACTAAATATTTCATTCAACATGGAACAAAACATTTTTTGGGACTTGGTTCCCAAATCATGAAAACAGTAGTGAAGTTTTTGGGAAAGGATTCCTCTATCATCCTCTGACCACCAATCTGTTAGGTAAATGGGAAAAACATAATCACCATCTTCTCTAATTTCATATTGTTTTGTGAGTCTTATTCAGAGGCTTATTTAAAGTTCAAGTCTTTGATAAACATGACCTATAGCAGTAAAATATAATCATACAGATGTTCAGGGTTTGGTTGTTTTGGTTTTTTTTTGGCAGGGGGGTTGTTGGTTTTTTTTTTTTTTTAAATGTATATTCCTTTACTTCCATGATTTTGTAAGTAAAATCAGAGCTCTGTATTTGATCAGGAAAGCTTCTGTGAGGCACCCAGGGTAACATGAAGTAGAAAGCTCAGCAAGTCCTATTAGGATGCGATCTACTGAAGTTCAGGGGCACTTCTGCAGCATTAGGCAAAAAAACCCAAAAATATAAGTTAAGGATGGTCTTGTCTTGAACAGATTGCTTCCTCAGTCTCCATTCAGGCAATCTGAACCTCAGTTCCATTTTCCTCTTTGGGAGAAAAAAGTCATGTGCTGCCAGAGGCTGAGCGAGGGACCCAGGCTGAAGATTCCCTTGAGCACCTGTTGCTTTTTGAACTCTGAGACTCAACTCAAGGGCATTGTTATTACTCTGGGACTTCAGCCAAAACAACCAAGAGCAAGTAGTCCTGGTGAGTTGGAAAGCAGAAGGATCCCAAAACAGAAACAGCAACGTACTCACTGATATATGCTGACAGAGAAGTACATCAGAATGCACAAAGACAGCAGAGGTTATATAGTTCGCAAAACAAGTTTCTAATGTCACGCTGAAGTACTGTTTTTTATGGAAGCTTTTTTGGAGGATTTCTTTGTTTGCACTGAGGCAGTATTGCTGCTGTTTATTTTCTCCATGTTTATTTGATTCTTTAATATTTTTTTTTCTGGTCTTGATAGTAGATTTTGGTATCAAGAGTGTCACTGATGTCTTTCCTGTGGCTTCAGTAGGTTTTGCTGTGTTTTGTATCTTTTGGACATTTGGCCTTACCTTTGAACAAAGCCAAATCTGAGTGAAATGTGAGGAATTCCTTTCTTGGTTTAGTTTTTCTAGTAGCCACTTATGTTTTTTTGTTAAGAATTAATCTGATTTCTTTTTTCTTTTCAGTTTAGAACTGAAACATCAGCTTCCTATTTTTGAACTTTTAAGGATTACCTACCCCCCAATTAGAACTCCTCATGCCTATTCCTTTATGTGCATACTTTAAGACAATATAAACTGCCATTAATTTATCTTCAACTTGTAACTAAATAAATCTGATTTAAATGTCTTGGAGTTGTATGTGTTTTACAGTGTTCAGATCATGTTTGTAGCTCTTTGAAGTGATAATGGAAACTGTCATTCATAAATGTGTGGCTGCTAGGCTTTGTTCAAGTGCTTAAAATCAAATTGATGATGAGAGCGCTGCAGAGGAACTTATGTGCAATAACAGCATACGAGTTGCTTGGTGGGATCATGAGGTCTGATCTTGCCAATAGTTAGTTCCCCACTGTTGCATGTGACTTGGCCTTTGTGGTGGTCTGCTGCATATATAGCAGCTTAGGGGTTTTTAATGCATTGGAACACTGTAGCCTGATGACTAGGCTTAATAGAAGCTGAGTGATGAAATGTTACAGAGATTGTTCTGGGGGATACAGGAGATCAACACAGATAATATAGTGATCTCTTCAGGCCTTCATCTTTATGAAATTGTTCTGCAATAGATGGATCAAGCAACTCTTTTAAGCCTGCCGGGATTGTTGATATGTTATTTCCTGTCATTTCTCTGAGATCTATTAGCTTACCATAATTTTTAACATCTGAGGAAGCAAAAGTTAGGAATTTCTGTCTTTTGTAAAATCTGATGGTTTTATAGCTTGCACATTTAAACTATGCCCTTCTGTTTTGGCATTTGAAGGTAAGAATGACAGTTTAAATGTATCTTAAACTTTGTGTAAAGACAATAAAAAGGTATAAAAAAATCTCAACAATGTGTCTTTTGAAATGTTTCTGATGTTGGTAGATATTTAAGGAAATGACCCATTAATGCAAGAATCTATAATGTACTCCTTGACCCTATGCAT